TATGTATACATAAATAAATATATATATATATATATATATATATATGCTTAGTAAATGTTATTTATGTTTAAAAGGTTTCGAATAATTAAATTTTCGTTCAAGTTGTTCTGTCAAATATTGAGTTTTACCAACTTGTTTATAAAATTGACATTTAATTATTTTTTAATTTTAATTTCCTACCGTTAAAAATATTGCAAAAAATTTTCTCTTAAATAAACTTATAATAAATGTAACAAGTTGCAAATTAAAATTAAATAAATCTTCATTAAATATAATTTAATATAAATAAATATAAATAAAATAATTTAAATAATAATTTATAATAATTTATACACATAATTATGAAATTAAATAATAGGAAATAAAATTATAAAATAAAGTTGCGAAATTAAATTAGAAAGCAAATTAAAAAATTAATTAACGAAAGTATAAAGTTAAAAACTGTAGAAATAAGCTTATAATTTAAAAATCTAACGTAATTAAATTTGTATTATCTAAATAAAACTGAATTAAATAAAATTAATTATTTAAATTACAAAAATAAATTATTAAGGTTAAATTATTAGTTGACGAACAAAAATGACAAAATTATGTGTATTTTAAATTTAATTTATATAATAAAATTACGAAATTTAATTATGTAATTAAAAATTAAATTGACAAATGCAATTAACACTTGTATGAATTATAGAAAAGTGGACAATTTTATTTTAATTTTTAATTAATCATTTTAAAATTTAAAGTTAAATGATTATTCAATACTTATTTAACTTTTAAATATGTCCCTTAAATAGTTATTTGTGTATTGAAATATTAAATCGAAATTAAATTTATGATATTAATGTATAAAAAATTAATTTGACAAATTCAATTGTCAGTTTTATTAATCATCGAAAACAGGACGTTTTTATTTCAATTTTTAATAAGCACTTAATATTATTAATTGATTTTCCTTAATTATTCTGTTTTATTATTAAAATTCATATGTCTAAGCAACTGTAAAAAATATATGAATAATTAAGAAAAGAAACTTATTTACATAAAACGTGACATATTCATTTTAACTTTTTTTTTAGAAAGTAAAAGGTTATTATTTCATTCACATACAAATTTATATATATGTATCCATTAAGAAAAAAAAAATTTTCTGGTATTATTTTTCGTATTCAGTGGATATAAAATCGGATTTTCTTTGTTTATAGAGTTTAGCAAAGATGAGAGGGTATACTCTGTGACGCTAACAAGCTGCTATGGTGCCCTGGATAGAAAAGTATTGTGTGCTTTGTGTTTTCCGCCAGCATATACTTGATAAAGTAGGATCAAAATGAAGTCCACATTATATAAAACAGGGGAGCATAAATTTTAAACTTTTTTTTTTCATTTTTCTCAATTTTTTTCCTTTTTTTTGAATACTAACACACTGGAGTTTAACTTACGGTTTTATGAGCGCACATTTCTAGCTAAAATAATATGTGTATCGAAATACATCCATCCCTTGTGCATACATGATAGTGCATTTGATATTTTGTTTAGAATGCATCTCTACTTTTTTTTAATTATTAAAAATGTATATTACATGACTTTTTTCTCCTGAACAAAGAGAATCCTTCAGAAAATGTCACTTTTGAAATTAAATTATTTTAATTAAAAAAGTTGAATAATTTTAAATGAAGAAAATCAAATAATTCCACATAAGAATGGAATTATATTATTTCGAAAAAATAAGATTATATAATTTAAAATTCAGGAAATTAAATAATTTCAAATGAAGAAAATTTAATAATGCTAAATTAATTATAAATAGATGTTTTTATTACTGTTCCTAATAAATTTCTATAATGGAATTGAAAAGTTTTTGTGTCTGACCAAAAGGGATTTTTACTACTTGATGTGAAGTTGCAGTAATAAATAACAAAGTTTAACTAGAAGGGACTTTTACTACTGTTTGCTGCTGCATTTTATTTATATCCTTGGCTTACTGTGACTGACATTAACTACTAGGAACTAATCAACGAAAAACTGATTAAAAAATTGTACTATTGATAGTAAAAACACTTTGGAAAATCGAGAAATTTTTTTAACTAAACGAAAAATATTTTTCCTACTTGCAGTAAAGGCTAATTATTTAGAAAGTTTTGTCTGACTAAACATCTATTTTACTCCTTAAAATAGAATCGAGTCTATTTTGTCTGACTACAAACGTTTGTTACTACTGCTATTAAAAGCGATGAATAATTAAAGTGTTTGACTATAAGTGCTTTTGGTTATAATAATATTACAAACAAAATTTATTTAGTTTTTATTATCTGATCGAAACTCTATTTTACTATTTAAAAAGAAATCGTCACTGATTCGTCCGATTACAATTGTTTTTTACTACTGATATGAATAGCAGTAATTTGACTAATCGGTTTGTCTGACTCAACTAGAAGTTAACTACTATAATTAAAAATATTAAAATCATTATTTTTCATTATTTTCCGTCACTATTTTATATTTTTTAAGTAGTGAAAACAGTATGCTGTCAGACAGATCAGTGATGATTTCTATTTAAGTAGTAAAATAAAGAAATGGTCAGACAAAACGGTCAAATTAAAAAAAAAAAAAAAAAAAGAAATCAGACTCTAATTTGTCTGACTATAACTGTCTCTCACTATACTGATTTTACTAGCAACAATTACTTAAAGCTTTTTGTCTGACAAAATCTTCATTTTCTACTTAAATTTTCTTTTTCCAACAAAAATGTATAAATCCCTTTATGAAAATCCAACAATACGTACACAGTATTATATGTTTACGACTTAAGGAAATTGAGACTATGCTCTCACAAGATTTTGAAAACTAATATTTAGTAATGTTGACAATTTAATATGACTAAGAGGCTGTATAAAAGCAATTTGAGTCTCAAGGAACTCCAGTGAAAATCTAACATGAACGTAACGTTACGACGTCTCAACTTTGTAAGTACTTTAGCTCGATGCGTCATCACCCGTATTCTGCTTTAACATAGAAAACTAAATAGACAAGTGCAAACTTTATACGCCTCACGGTAAGATAAGATACCATATAGGGTTTCAAGAAAAAGGCAAAAAGGTGGTGGTAGTGGTGGTAGTACTGGGTTGAGAAGGGTTGAAAAGAGGGGCCCGGGGGAAGGGGTCGAAAATAAATTCTGTTGAAAAGTAATATCGGAGAAGGCATCAAACTTCGAAACTATCCGATTTCTACTAAAACTAATGTAATGCTGTCGCCGTTGGACTGTGAACAGGTTTTGCCAACTTATCATGCAATAAGAGCACAAAATCGCTCGATAAATAGAATCTAAACGAACTTTTTTTTTCTTCCTCCTACATTCTCCTTCATGTTTCTTTTTCGTATAGTTGCTCATGAATTTTATATAGTTTTAGTTTTATTTTCCAAAGTCCTTACAATCAAATTTTATTGAACACACCACTGTTTGAATTGAAATTATTGTATTTAATTTCAAAATGGTTGAAAAAATAAGTTTCTTTAAAAATTTATCTCTTTTTCGTAACATTTTCTGTGTACCTATAAAAACTAATTAATTTTTTGTTTTTCCTAACTAATGTTTTGAATATGTTAGGAAAAAAGGAGAATCGAGCTGAAAAGAAAATTTTACTGATGGAATTGAAAAAATTTTGCATGTCTGACTTAAAAGGACTTGTACTACTACTATTTGGAAAAAAATTTGAAAAAAGTGAGTTAAGTTTTGGTCTGACCGAAACGTATTTTTACTACTTACAGTGGACTTTTACTTTTATTATTAGTTATTGCTAGTAAATTTTGATGTTAGAGTTAGTTTTTTTACTTATTTCCAGTTCCACAAACCCAAGTTCCAATCAGACGAAGGTTTAGTTGTAGTAGTAAAGATCAATTTTAGGTCAGGCATTCCAAATTCTCAATATTCCATATAGTAGTAAACGTCCGTTTTAGTCAGCCCAGAAAATTTCTCGTCGTTATAAAATAAATTCCTTTCTATCACATATGCGACAGTTTCATGGAGTTTTCTTTTCAAATACAAAAAATGTATTAAAATAATATATTCTATTTCAAAAATAGAAAAATTTTCTTACGAAAAATGAATAATTAAATAAAAATTTTTTATTTTGTCTCTATCCCACCCAAGTATACGTATATAATTGTGTTGCAAAAAGTAAAAAATCATAAACGAATATGTTAAATTCATATTACCAATTTAAAAACTTTTTTTTGCAACTCTTTAATAAGAAAAGTTTTTATGATGCGACAAAATGAAAATCCTGACAAATTATATGAAACGCAATTTTTTTTTAATATTCCATTATGCATGATGTTCATATATTATACTGCCTTGTAGAAACAAAAACAAAAAACAAAACGTGCATCTCTTGAGAGCAGTTCGTGATACTCTTCTGCTTCTAATTAAAAATGCCACATTGCAGTTACCGACTTTGTTAACAACTTGTTGAACTAATTGGAGGAGTTCTGACTAAGGAAAACTGAAAATCACCTTTTTCAGTCGTTATTTACTACACTTGCATCTCTCTCTCTACATATACGTATACTTCTCCATCTTAGTACAATTGTTATCTAACAATTAATCGTATTAGATTATAAATTAAAACTTTATCTTCCCTATCAAAGTTATATTCGCTGAGCGCAATATATAATTTTGGATACAATCCAAATTGCAAAGCACTTTGACACTAAGTGCTTTTAATTCTTGTCTTTTTCTCCTTCGAAGGTAAATAATCTTTCGTGTTGAAATTACTTTTTTTTCCCCTCTTATTCGTGGAGGGGATTATTATTAGTATTACTAATAATTAATAATTATAATTATTAGCAAGTAACTAATGAAATTTGTAAAAAGGGTAGAAAAATATTTTTTGTAAAAAATAAGTTTTGTTGGGGGAAATTTTTCTTGGGTGATACTTTTTGGACGAAGGAGTGAAAAACAGTTGGGCGTTAATTAGAAACAATTATGATTTAAATTTTCTACTTACTGGTAGCGCTGACAGCCGGACCAATGACCGAGTACTTGGGGTTCCCCGTAACGCCTCCAGGGACGACCTTGTCCAACTCTGGAACACATTATAGTAATTATCCTCTGAATATACAGTGCCGTTAATTACGACAGGGAGTTGTGCGTGCAATACAACACAGCCAATTTACCCTTAATACAAACGGACGCGTCTATGATTTATTGCATTATGAATTTGAAACGGAATAATAGGCTTTACACATATTATTATATTGAAGGATGCAATTTTGATTTATCGTATTCTATTTTTCTTTCAACTTTTAACACTCTTTTCTCTCTCTTCTTCACTCTCTCTCTTTCTATCTGTTTTTTTATTTTTCTCTATCCTTTTCCTTCATTCGAGAAAATTGCTAGAAATCTACTTCCCTTTCCTTGCGAGAAATATTATCAGAGATTTATGACATATATGATTCAATGTATCGAACGGTGGTTTTTTCTTCTCACCAAACAAGATTTATTGACAAACACTCAAGTGACGACTGTTTTTCAATTCTGAGAAAGTACAAGACTAGTTTTATTTTTTTTTCTTTACTTCAGATTTTTTTATATAGCATAGAGAGAGAAAAATTGATTGTAATTAAAAATTGTATTTTTTCAATACAAAAATTTGCTTCTTAATTTAAGTTTAAATTTTTCTTATTATAAACAAAGAAGAATTATAATTCTTTCTTATTCTTAAACATTGTTTATTGATTTTATTGTCTCACTGTCAGTTTGTTGAAAATTAATTTTTAAGTTACGGAATTAAAAGTTGTTTTTGTTCCTTAATTTGTTTTTATTTTAAACATTCAATATTTAAAAGAATTTTATATAAAATAAACAAAGAAAATAAGTATGCAAATAAATATTTGATATATTTTGAAAATTAATACCTTTAAAGAGCAACCATATAATTAAATTTGTTCATTTTCATTTATCTAAAGTTAAAATACTATATTTAAATTAATATAAAAATTTAACTTACATTACGATTTTCTTTAATTCTTAAGTACTTTAAATACAGAAAATTCCTTCTTAATTTAAAATCAATTTTTTTTATTTTATGTATTTATGTTTATGTTTACTAATTTTAACAGTTTTTATATTTATTTATTATTATTAATTTAAAATGTCTGACTAAAACTTGTCTATACTACTAATTTTGTACTCTTATTAATTTCACTATTTGTATTTCGGTATTTTACTTTCTATTTAATACAAACGAGTCTGATTAACAATTTACTATTACTATTAACCTCGAAACTAAAAAACAGTAATAATATGATTGTTATTAATAATTTACAAATAATTCAGAACGTTTCTCAAAATATTAGAATAATATTTTTTGAAAAAAATAATTTTTGATCATTTTTTGTGTTCGATATTTGGTTTAAATGAATAAACTATTTACATAATTAATAAAATTTAATATTTTTTTTTAAAATAAAAATTTATGTAAATATGTACCAAATATAATTTAATATAATTAAAAAATAAATACGCAAATAAATGTTAAAATAAATATTTAATAAAAAATATATGGGCAATTCCACGCAAGATTTACCTATGACCTTGAAAATTCGGTTAAACATATTTTTTTCTTAATCTATATGGAAAAAAAAGAAATACGTGTTTTTTTATTTTTGTTTAATCGCCCAAATTTTCGAGTTATGAATTTTCGAAATTTTGGATTTGTAACTGTAGACATATTTTCAGTAGCTTATAAGTCTGAAAATATTAAGTATAGAAAAAACTTGTCAAGGAATGAAAGTTTTAATTTTCTTTCAACTTTTAAGAAATGTAAAAAAAAAAATTTTTTTTAATTTTTTATTAAAAAAATTTTTTTTTTTTATAAACAAATTAATTTTTTTTAACTTTGGACCCTTTTCTTTTTTCTTTTTTTTAAATTTATTTATACCTTATAATATACAGAAGATTTTCCAAAAAGTTTTGGAGTGGGCCGACGCGTTTAATGAGTTGTACAAAATTTTCAAAAATCACGTGCAAGGTGCTCGTGTTCTACGAAACGCCTCACAATGGAATTTTTTTACAATTTACTTCTCAAAAAATGTCTACAGACTAAAATTTTTAATCGATTCGAGTGTTTTTTGTTTTAAATAAAAGGAGAACAATTTCTGAACATATCCCTCCATGCAAACCTAAAAATCTTCAATTATTTATAATTTTTTTTAAATACAAAAAGTTAACAAATTAGTTGTGTAGTTTCCTTTAAAAATGAATTAATTGTTAACTAATATTGTTTATAAGTGTTTAGATAAATTATTTTATGTTTTACTATTTATCTGGTGGTCATATATTATATTAATTGAATCTGATTTAGGACATGTGTAGTAGCAAAATAAGAAAATAATCATTCATTTTTAAAGGAAACTACACAACTAATTTGTTAACTTTTTGTATTTAAAAAAAAATTATAAACAATTTAAGATTCTTAGGTTTGCATGGAGGGATATGTTCAGAAATTGTTCTCCTTTTATTTAAAACAAAAAACACTCGAATCGATTAAAAATTTTAGTCTGTAGACATTTTTTGAGAAGTAAATTGTAAAAAAATTCCATTGTGAGGCGTTTCGTAGAACACGAGCACCTTGCACGTGATTTTTGAAAATTTTGTACAACTCATTAAACGCGTCGGCCCACTCCAAAACTTTTTGGAAAATCTTCTGTATATTATAAGGTATAAATAAATTTAAAAAAAAGAAAAAAGAAAAGGGTCCAAAGTTAAAAAAAATTAATTTGTTTATAAAAAAAAAATTTAAAAAAATTTTTTTTTTTTACATTTCTTAAAAGTTGAAAGAAAACTAAAACTTTCATTCCTTGACAAGTTTTTTCTATACTTAATATTTTCAGACTTATAAGCTACTGAAAATATGTCTACAGTTACAAATCCAAAATTTCGAAAATTCATAACTCGAAAATTTTGGCGATTAAACAAAAATAAAAAAACACGTATTTCTTTTTTTTCCATATAGATTGAGAAAAAAATATGTTTAACCGAATTTTCAAGGTCATAGGTAAATCTTGCGTGGAATTGCCCATATATTACATTTAAAAAATATTAAATTATTTTGCATATCATTTGTAAGTATTTAGTTGCAAAGATTTTTTTAAACTGCTGGGTATTTTGTTTTTCTTTATAAGTGTTATTTAAGTATTTAAAAAAATTTTTAAAATAAATATTTAAAAAGTACTATTTCTGATTAATATTAAAATAAATTTCACTACAATTAGAAAATTCCAAAATTATTATAATTTTCGTAATGTGGATATAGAAACTGGCAGTTGATATTTTATGCAAAGAAATTTTTGTCGCAAAAATATTACTTTTATCAATTTTGGGTAAATTTTTTGACAAACATTTTATCTATTGTTGATAAAAGGTGCAAATAACTTCAAATGGTAAGGGCAGTAAATTGAAGGAAAGGTAGAAAATATTCTACGTACCGACTTGCAGTAAAGAAGCTCTCTTTTAAACTTTCGAAAAAGCTTCGTTAAAGCTCTACCGTGAGTCGCTACGTGAAGTTTTTCCGCTACGTGATTTTCCATTTTACCGACCGTGATATTCAAAATCAATTTTTTTTTGGAAAATTCAAATTAATTTTAAAATTCAAATTAAAAACTTTAAATTAACCAGAATTGACATAAAAAATCTGGATTTTTACAAATCTAGAAACAAATTTACATTTTGGTAATTTTAATAGTTAAAAGTTTGCCTTTACCATCAACAACAAGTTGTTCCAAAATTTACCAGACGAGAAAAAACTTTATTTTTAGAGAGAAAAAAAACAGAAAAAAATACGAGAGTAAATAATATTTTTGTAAAACAATTCTTCCAGATGAAATCAACAAAGAATAATAAGTAATAATAATGACTAAATATTAATAAATTAATAATTGATATTTTAATACAAATACAATATTATTCACAAGAAATGTTATCAAAAAAATGTTATCAAAAAATTAAATGAAATTAAAATAAAATATAAATATAAAAAATAAAAATTATAGAAGAAAAATCAAATAAAAACCACAATGGAAAATGATTCTTCTAACTGAAAAAAGTTATTTCAGTTAATATTTTTTTCCTTTAATTTAAAAAGAAATAAAATTTAAAGAAATAAAATTTCCCAACCTATGGAAGAAATGACCTTTAGATTATATTCTTGTAAGTTCTTTTTAGAATTTAAAGGGATTCACGTAATCGAATTTCTTCAAAGTCGAATTTGATGGCTCTTTAAAGAAAAGCTAATAATTTTTACAGAGGGTGTTAAATCTTTATTGAAAAGAAAAAGTCTTTTCTTTAATGCAATTCTTTTTCAACTAGTCACTTCTGATGGCTCTGAGCCAATTTACGTAACAGAAAACGATTCTTCTATTATTCCAAAGGGGCTAAAAGGAAAAGAGGAATCTATTCAAAGACACTTTCTAACACATTTTTATCCTGTGGAATACGAAGCTCTTTCGATTTATTCATTTACTTTCTTACATGTAGTTTATATGCTAAAACCTTATTACATTCAAGAATTTTCATCTTTTATCCTTCTTTTTTTTTCTTTGGGAGAAAGAAAAAAGAATGTTTTCAGTAGAATATAGAATACAATTTACCTGCGTCTTATGAAGAGTGGAAAACGGTTTTTATAATGTGTTATTATTGTCTTTTTTTCAAGCCCTATTTATTATCTCTTTTTCAAGAAATATTTATTTATTATTTTTATATATTTTATAAATTATTATATTTATTTTGTATTTAATTACATTCTTTTTTTGTAGTATTTTGTATTAATTAATTAATTAATTAATTAATTAATTAATTAATTAATTATAATCATATTGTATTTATTTGTACTTTTGCTTTATTGTTTTTGTTTTTTATTATATTTGCATTTTCTTTATATTTATTTTCTATTTATATTTATATTTATAAATTTATATTATATATTTATATAATATTTTTTGAATTTTTAATGTTTCTTATACTTTGAGAATTGGAAATAAATTTTAAATGCTAATCAATAATAAGGAAATTTCATTACATTAGACAATTTCAATAATAGCAACTTTGAGTCTAGCAGTAAAAGTCAGTATTGGTTAAACTTTAAATTTCTTGAAAATTTAACACTAGTAGTATAAGTCAGTTTGGATCAGACAACATTTTAAAATCTTTTTTTATTACCAGTTGGAAAAGTAAATTTCATTTAGACAGAACAGTTAAGAATTGTAACACTCGCACAAGTAGTAAAAGGAAGTTTTAGACGGACACAGTATCCTTTAATTTAAATTAATTTAGTATTAGTAGTACAAGTCAGTATCAGTCAGACAGGGCATATTGCTAAATTTCAATTAGAATTAATTTAGTATCAGTAGTACAAGGCAGTAACAGTCAGCCAGGGTATCTTTTAATTATAATTAATTTAGTATCAGTAGTACAAGAAAGTTTCAGTCAGACACAATATCTTCTGATAAATGTATTACTTTAAAATCAGTAGTAAAAGACGGTTTTCGTCAGACAAGACATAAAATCCTTGAAATTTTTTATTCCCACTTTTTTATTACAAAAATATGTATTTACAATTAATTAGACTTGTGCATAAAATGTATTAACTTTAACACCAGTAAAGTACAGTAGAAAAAGTCATTTATGGTCAGACAAGATTTAATTTTTCGAAATTTTACCAAGTGTAGGCAATATAAATCAATTTATCTGAGTTTTAAAAATTCTTTCGTAACTTTGCCAATAGTAGTATAAATTAGTTAAAATTCGTATCAGTAGTACATGTCAGTTTATAGTCATACTTTTTTCATTTTCTTAATTTTAGAGTTTGCAACTTTTTTTAAAAATGTTAGCGATAGAATAAAATTAAAATTTTTTTTTTAACTTTTTAAATTTTAACTATAGAATAAATTATTTCTATTCACTTTAGTTATTTTAAAAATAAAAAATTATTTTAAGTGCATGTTTTGTCCGACTCGACATTCTTGTAAATTTTCTTAAGTAGTCTATGTCAATTACAGTCAGACGAAAGTAGTAAACTAACTATTTAATATTACTTTAGGCCGAATTTTTAAAATTGTCTACAAAAATTTGTTTATGAAAAAAAAACAATTTTAGTTGGAACGTTTTCAGAATTAAAAAATAGATATTAGTAGTACAAATCAATTTATAGTCAGACTTTATGAATTTATCTCCTAATTTATAATCAGCCATTAAGAAATTGATAAAATTTGTCACTACTGCAAAAGTCATTAGTAACTAGTAGTAACAGTAATTTATAGTCAGACTTTTCCAATTAATCTCTTAATTTAAAATCAGTAGTAAGATTCAAATTCAGACATTACGAAATTGATAAAATTTGTCACTACTGTAAAAGTGATTAGTAACTAGTTGTACAAGTCAATTTATAGTCAGACTTTTTAAAATTTCTCTCTTAATTTAAAATTAGTAGTAAAATTTAAATTCAATCATAAGGAAATTGATAAAATTAGTACAAAATTTGTCACTACTGCAAAAGTCATTAGTAACTAGTAGTAACAGTAATTTATAGTCAGAGTTTCTTAGTAGTAGTAGTAGTAGTAACTAGTAGTACAAGTCAGTTTATAGTCAGACTTTTCAAAATTTTTTCTCTTAATTTAAAATCAGTAGTAAAATAGAAATTTAGTCATTAAAAGTGGATTAAAAAATTTGACACTACGGTAAAAGTCATTAGTAACTAGTAGTAATAGTCATTTCTAGTCAGACTTTCTTAATTTCTCTCCTAATTTAAATTCAGTAATAAAATTCAAATTCAGTCGTTAAGAAATTGATAAAATTTGTACAAAATTTGTCGCTACTGTGAAAGTCATTATTAACTAGTAGTAACAGTCATTTATAGTCAGACAACGTTTTTCATTTAGATAAAGTTTGGAAATTTATTTTTCTAATTTTTTTCCTTTTATCTTTAGTTAAAAAAAATAGATATTTCTCTCTCATTCTCTTTCTCTTACCAGAATTTAAAGCATCGTCCAGAGGTTGAAATTGGAATATCGCCTTGAACCCTTGCCCGGGACGTTCTGAATTAGCGACGAACTCAACGTAGAGATCTGACCCTGTGCTGAGCACCTCGACTTCCGCTCCTTCGTTGCATAGCACTGCTATTGTAGGCGCTCGAGAATCCCTTCCATCATGCACCCTGATTAAATCGGCCCTATTCAGACAGCTGTAACAGGATGCTTTTCGTTAGTGACCGCACATTTACCGGATCCAATTGCATTGTAAATCAGTGGTAATGGTCGTGGACGCATCTGAAACCTTGTATTTTGAATTCTCACGAGTGTTCATTTTCTCATCAAACAAGTTTCCTTCAATAAAGCAAGAAAATTTGTTTCTCTTCATTCTCCTTTCTCTCATTTTCCAATCTATTTAATTCATTAATTTTCTTTTTGAATCTACTTTTTTTTCTTTTTTATTTTATTTTCTACAATTATTTTCTAATAAATTCTTTTTTTGATTAAGAAAAATGCTTGAGAAACAAATTTTTTTAACTTAATTTATTAATGATTTTCTGTCTACATCCGCGGGTAGAAAGAATAAAGAATAAAAACAGGGTATTATTTTTGTTTATTTCTATTAAATTATTTTCTTTATGGAAATATGAAAATTCTCTCTTTTTCTTTTAATAGAGAGAAAAATAAAGAGAAATAAAATAAAAAAATATGAATGATTCAGAAAATAAAAGTAATTTTTAATGTTACTTTTAAAATAATTTTATCCGTTGTTGAAAATTAAATAAGGAGAATGCACTTTAACTTGATATAAAGTTATTTTTCCACGTGAGTAATTCTAAATAACGATCGAATCACTTAAGAACTCAATCGTTTTTATTCTATTTTCATTTATAGAATTTATCTCAGAATAGAGATTTATGTACATTTTAAAAAAAATAATTAATGAATATCGCTCTGTTGATATAAATGCATTATTTAAAGGAAATTTCACAGTGATAATTGCATTTCACTTACTTTTTTCCGCATTAAAGGAGATAAAAGTATTATTTTCGTAAATTTTTTTCTCATTAATCATTATACTTAAGTAAATAAAGAAATTACTGATCTTTATTTTCTTTTCTTTATTATTTAATTTTTATTTTTTATTTATTTAAAAAATGTTTTATTATATTATTTATCATTTATTGCATGAATTTCTTCCTCTAAACAATATATAAAAAAACTCGATTGCGAATGGATTGGAGATAATGTGTCATATAGAGTAAAATACATTTTTTACTTTATATACCTAACTTTTCCAAAAAAAAACTTTACGAGGCAGATGCTTCAGTTTCGTGTTAAATCTTATTAGAAACTTAAAGTAATATGTCTCACCTATATGACACAATTTTTTTCTTATTTCTCATTTTTTTTCTTTTTTTTTTGCTTTCACCTGAGAAATAATTGAAGAAAACTTTATGACGGAGTGAAATTAATTTAAACATCGAGTGACAAAAGTTGACTGACTTTGTCTTGAAAACTTTGCGGTTAAAACTTGAAACAATGCGCGTTTCGCCTAACAAAATGCTTGTTTCAATTTTAACTTTGTACAAAAAGTTATGACGAAAATCCATAATGACGCAAAAGTGGAATATTTAATAGTTAATATTTTTAGTCTGAATTAAACATTAGCTAAGTTTGGTGTATTATTTTTATTTCAGTAGTGAAGGTAAATTTGGTTTTAGATTTGTGTTATTTTTTTTTTGGTAATTTTTTATTTCGCAGTAGTAAAGATCAATATATAGTAGTCGAACAAGTTTTACTTAGTCCAAACTTAAAGTATAATAAAAATATCATAAAAATAAATACAGTTAAAAAAATAAACCAGTTTTAATATCTGTAGTAGATAATAATAAAGTAGTACTAGTCAGTTTTAGTCAGACAAAAGTTTTTAAAATTTTTAGATTACTTCTCTCTACAGTGAACGTAAACTTCGGTTAAAATTAAAATTTTTTGTAAATTTAAAAAAATAAATTGAGAAATAAAAAAATATAAAATAAATCTAGTAGTACAAGTCAATTTAAGGCAGACAAAGTTTTCTTAAATTTCCACATTATTTTCATCTGTAAAAGTACATTTTACATTTAAACAGAATAATTTATAATAATAATTCAAATAATAATTGAAATTTATATAATTTTCCCATCAGTAGTAGAAAAACGAATAACAATGACAAAACAAAAGTAGTAAAATTAAGTTTCCACTCAGACTCGTTTCTTATAAAATAGAAAATTGTGGAAAAAATAAAATTAAAAAAACAGAACAAATACAAATAGTGAAAATGAAAATAAATGTGTCAAAATTAGTAGCACAGTAAATCGTGAGGTATTAAAAAATGTTGCAGATTAAATTAACACCAAAAAAGATTAAAATAATTAATTTTGGTCTTATTTTTTAAAATGAATGAAATTTATTCATATTTTATAATAATTAAAGATGACCAAGTAATAAAATCATTATTTTATATCATAAGAATATTATACTTCTTCAAAATTATTTTCATTATTTCAATTCAATTATTATTTTCAAAAAATTTTAACCACAATTTTACTTTATATCTATTATTTTTAGTAATTTTCAGAAAAAGTTCTTTGACAATTTTCAAATCCATTTGTTTACAATATTCAATTTTACGAAATTTCAATTATTCTTAAATTCTTTAATTAAATGCATATTAGAAAATAAAACCTGCAAATAATATAAAAGAAAATTCAATTAAAATTTTCCAAAAAAATGAATTTCAAAATTCAATTATTTCTACAAATTTACGCTATATTGCTTTTAATATTCAATTATAATTTAAAATTTTAACTGAAATTCACTTTTATGAAATGAAAATCAATTTTTATTAGAAAATTCTACAAGAATTTAATTATTTAAATGCAAAAGTAAATAATTTATTGAATAATTGAATATTTCTCAAAATTCAATTCTCATAAAGAATTTTAGTAACAAATTTTTAAATAATATTGAATTCTTTTGTCGAATTTTATTAAAACTTGTATGAACATAAGTACTTTTTTCAAGGAATTCAATTATAATTGTATGAAAAATAATTGAAACGCTGCGATGAGTTTTATGAGAATTTTCAAATTCATTCGTTTACAATTCAATTTTACAAAATTTTAATTATTCGGAAATTCTGCAATTAAATATATATTGAAAAATAAAAATTTGAAATAATTTCAATAAAAATCCTATTAAACTTTTAAAAAGAATTAATTCTACAGAATTGTTTGTGAAAAATATGAAAAATTAAGAATTTTAATGATTTTAATTTGGAACATTTTCAAAATTTAAATATTTTTGAAAATCTACGTTATAATGCTTATAATATTTAATTATAATCTAAAATTTTAACTGAAATTTATTTTTAAAACCATTCTCATTAGTAAATTCTACGATAATTCAATTATTTAAATACAAAAATAAATAATTTATATTAATTTCATGTTTCTTGAAATTAAATTCTCATAAAAAATGTTAACAACAATTTTTTTACATCATTAAATTCTTTGGACAAATTTTAATAAAATTTTTAACAATAATTACATTTTTCGAGGAATTCGATTAAAATTGCATTAAAAATAATTGAAATTGTGCAATGAGTTTTATTATTCATGAAAATAATTGAATTCCTAAAAGAATTTTATTATTTATAAAAATAATTGAATTCTTGCAAAAATGTTACTATTTATGAAAATAATTGAATTATTGCGAAGAAATATATAAAAAAAATTTGTAAATAATTGAATTCCTGTAAAAAATTTTATTATATATGAAAATAATTGAATGTTTGCGTAGAATTTTATTCAAATTTTTTTTAATAATGGAATTCTTTTGGAAATTTTTATTCAAATAGTAGATATTGAAAATTATTAAATTTTAAAAAACTTTTGAAAATAATTGAAATTTTGCCAAGAATTTGATTAAAATTTTGTATAAAATAATTCAATATCAGAGACGTATTTTATTATTTATAAAAAGAATTGAAATTTTAACGAGAATTTTTTAAATTTTTGAACACAATTGAATTTAGTAACTATGTTACTAAGTTAGTTAGTAAGTTAGTAACTAACTTACTATTCTCCTTGGAGAGGCTAAATTCGTTGAATTTTTACAAACCATTGACTTTGGTGTTTTATTTAAAGTAAAATTTCATTCATATTTAAAAATAACACCAAAATAGATTATTTTAATCCTTTCTGGTGTTAATTTAATCCTAGAGGGATTAAAACGTTGCAGATTATTTTAATCCATTCTGGTGTTATTTTAACACCTTACATTTTACTGTGAGTAAAAATAAGTTTTAGTCAGACTGTGTCAATTTTAGAAAATTTCACGTAAAACACATATCTAAAAACACGTCTTGGTCAAGGAATTTTAAGTTTTTTAACTCATCAGTGTAGTAAAATCGCAGCATAGTCAGACACATCATTCCATTTTTTAAAAGAAACATGAATTTTCAAAGTTAAATCCTACTTTCTGAGATATTTCAGACTCAACAATTGAATTTCAATTTCTCAAAAATTTCCTAATACTTTGTTTTTTATCAATTTGGGAATTCTTTTTCCCTTTCATTTTTCAATCGTATTATATAAATCATAGCCAAGGATGAAAATCGAAAATAGATAAATTACTGATTTTCTGCTTTAACAGATTATGCTTTAAGTAGAAAGCTGGACATTTGCGCTGGTAGCCTATACTAAATCGAGCGTTTCATCTTTCCGATAATACGAATGATGGTAAGAGAGAGAGAGAGAGAGAAAGCAAAAGAGAAAGCAAAAAAAGAGAGAGAAAGAGAGAGAGAGAGAAGCGAGTAAGTTTTCCTTCGGCCAGAATGCATTGAAGCGAAGGAAGGCTATATGAAGGTATAAAAGGGATTGGCAACTATTGACGCCGGGGCCCTCCCTTTTTGCTCCCACTCCAATTCTATGAGGGGGGGGGGCAAGGCAGGGGGGTCCCACCCCCCATAACTCGAAGACTCGCTTTGTCACTGTAAAGTCTTTGCAATTTCACCTCTCCTGTTATATATCCCTTTCCGCGCGTCCCTCAATCGAATCTTTTTCTCGCGCCATCTCTTTTCCACAAGTCGGACGCAATACATTCGAGTGGAACTTATATCTTACCTCGGGTTGAAGTTTAGAGAGCACGTAGAAGCTCTCACACGCTA